GGAGGAAGAGGAGAAAAATTAAGATTAAAGGAGCCTATTAAGGAGTAGAAGGATATTAATAGGATCAGATAAAGGTAACAGAAAAGAGCAAACGAGAAAAAGAAGATAAAACAAAAATAAAAGAAAAAAGGAGAAAAAAGAAAAAAACAAAGAGGATAATTTCCCAACTCCTCCAAAACTAGTGACAAAGAAAGAGAGAAAAAAAGAGTGGGGAAAGAAAATAATTCTCTATATTTTCCGATTAGTGATTTCTTTGCAATATCTGTAGTTTTGGAATCTAGCAAGTCATGGTTTTCACTGCCTAGCATTATGGGCTGTGAATTTGTGAGGTGCCTCCCTGTCCTAGAGCCCCTTCTGTCCATTTACCCCAGGCTGTGGCAGCTGTCCAAGCTAAGGCACATCCTTGCCCATGCTGGTAAATGGGTAGAGCAATCATCTGATCTGTGCTGGATGGAGGGAGCAGTGAAAGTGTTCAAGCAGCCTGCTGTACTTAGTGCCAGCACTTTCAGACCAGTCATTTCTGAGTACAGCGCAAGTTGAGCCTGTCTCCTCACCACAGAGGGCAGAATCTATGTTCTTCCCAGCCTGAGCTTAAACTTCTTGGGTGGCGGGTCTATGTGTAAATTTCTCCTCGTGTGTGACTGTCTTTCATGGCTATTTCTCACCCAGGCATTGTGAGCAGGTTACACTGGGAACCTTCAAGTAAAGTTGTTTTTAGTTGTTCTAAGTCTGAGTCTTAAGTAATCAACCCCTTCCCGAGTTGGTGCCTGATTGAACACTCAGGCAATATGGCGGGTACGGCAATGGATACCTTCTCCAGCTGTTTCTTTTCATGTAGCAGACACCTTGGAGCAAAATCCTACACTACTGTTGCTGTTCGCAACAGCTGTGGGCTCCTCTTGGGGCCCGTCCTGCTGGCCTGGCTACCCGAGTTGGCCTGATTGAACACTCAGGCAATATGGCGGGTACTGCAATGGATACCTTCTCCAGCTGTTTCTTTTCATGTAGAAGACACCTTGGAGCAAAATCCCACACTACTGTTGCTGTTCGCAACAGCTGTGGGCTCTCCTTGGGGCCCGTCCTGCTGGCCTGGCTCACTATTTTACCCTGGAGATCCAGCTTTGAGGTTTGCCTGGTGTCT